CCATCTTAATATAAAAGAACTGATTTATGGACATCTGGAATACATATCCAATCCTGCTATTATATATTAAACATTTTGGGGGGGATTTAGAGATATCCTATAATTATTTCAGACTAGAACTTCGGAATATTTGATATTTAAAAGTAACAATGAAAATTTTAATTTGAGAAGTAAAATGTGATAAGAATATTTCTATCTCAAATGGTAATTACTGGAGGATCCGGCAGGCGGGGGTTGTTGATACAATTTTCTAACACCTTGCTATAGAATTAGATGTTTGATTTTTAGGGGAGGAGACATCTTCTTGGTCAGCACCTAAGTGACAAAGATATCGACGGCATCTTAACCTCTGAAGCCATGTGATGTTAAAAATAAATTGAAGCAGAAGCCTATAAAATGATCACCATGACAACTGACTGGTATGATACTTTAGCTATGCAACCTTGGATGATATCCACTAGGCCTGGCCTCTGAGGCTGAACTGCTCAACAGCTCACATATGCCCTTTTTCTACTGGCTCTATTTAGGCCGGCTCCGCTCCACACGCAGGGAAGGGGCTCTGTATTAAATAACATCCTAAACCAGTCGATCACCCATAACATCAGCTGGTCAGACGCACAAACATTTCCCCCAAAACACACAAAACAATACCTCCATGAAACAGATTGTTTTGTTTGGAAATGTATTGATGTTTCTTAGGAGAACCACCGTCTGGAGGAGGAGGGAGCAGACAGACATCAGCTGCCCGTAATCAGACTGCCTGCATCGGATCAAACAGGAGGAAGGCCCCACTGAACCCACAGTGCATGAATATCCAATATCCAACCTGAAACAAACTTCACCATGGTCAGAAATCCGTGGTTCTGCTCTTTAAAATCCTTGTCCTCATTATTGTCATGGCTGAGACAAAACTTTCCTCATGAATCCCAAAATTGTAACTTCTTCAGGCAGACAGCAGCGTCTCTCCTCTCTGCTTCTTCTGCAACACCCCTCTCGCATCATAACCCCTGAGCCTTATTTCAATGGTTCTGGCTGGGCTGTGGTCCAGATAATTATCCAAGTGGATAATTTTATACATGGAAAAAACATATATAAGACATCCTTGCATATAGAATAATACAAACATTATTTGTATTTTTTTATTTGTGTTTATTTTGTGTTTTTATTTTGAAAACTGAAGTTGGAGAACTATTTTCACCACAATTGCTTAGTTCCTCAGCGGGGAACAACCAGAAGGGCCACCAGGCACTGGTACTGGTCTCTTCCTACATTTTCACACACAGGCACAATGTGAATCTTTTTACTTCTGTGGTAACGTTACAACACCACTCACAGGTGTAGCATATGTATTACAATGCCTATTACAGCTCCTCTGGCTGCAGGTGTTTTCGCCTTTGTGGTTAGACTTTTCTGTGCCGATATCGTCTTTAGCTCAGTGTGGATGTGGCCAAAGTCATGCAGTAGTGTGCTGACTGAAAAAAACAAAGCATGAAGAAAAAAGTCTGTTTCATCTGGGTTTCTGTTGCTTCTTTGGTGTTTAAGTGTAGTTGTGCACCTGCACCTTTTCACTACTCCATGTAGCCCCACAAGACATTTTCAAACTCTTTCATCTTCGGATCCACGCTCTTACTGTTTTTCCTCTACTACTTCTTCTATTCAAATGCATTTGCTCTTCCTCTCTTCCTGTTTTTGGTACGCTGTCCCGGCATGCATTCACAATGCAAGCAAACCGTTCCAGGGTCCGAATAAACCATGCAGAGGTCAGCAGCTTTAAACTAACTAGGGAAAACCAGACTCTGGCACAATACAAAGAGTTCCAAAGGTTTGATGTGAAAGCACTGTAACCGATACTAATGTCGTTGTGGTTGGGCGAATTGTCCTTGAGTAATGCTAACTCACCAATGTGTGCGCCTCAGTTTGTGTACATCTGGGTTTTTTCCCTCCTAGGGGCCAACAGAGCTACTAATCAGTTCACTCTTGTGTAGAATTTATATTTTGTTTTAATAGAAACTGAAAAAATATTTTCTCTTGATAACATATTTCCCCCCACAAAGTTGCCATTCCTGACAGAATGAGTGAAAAGCAAAAACCTTTATTCCCATCAACACATATGACTATTGACAAAGTGGCAATGTTAGTGACAGCTGACAGATTGTGTTGTATGATAATTTGTTTGAGTTTTAATGAGCCACAGAAACGGCACCAGTTGCTGCAGCTCATTAGCTGCATAAGTATGAGGCACTGGTAGAATGGAGCCTTTGCGGAAAATAAAGCCATTACTGATGCAGCCCTGCCAGCAACAGATACATTCTGGAAGTCAAAGTGCCAGAAGACAGTTGTAAAAAGAGCAGTGACTTATCTCCAGCTGACAGCCTTTTTGTGGGGGCTTTTTTCTCTGTGTGTGTGTGTGTGTATGTGTGTGTTGTAAATGGAGCTACCACATTCTGTCTTATTCTAAAGTGGAGGAGAAAGCGGAAGGATTTAACTGGCCAAGCTCTATGTATCAGATTGAAAAATTATCAGAAACACATTGAATGATTAAATGTGATACAACAAAAGCCCCCATAGGAATAGCAATAAATGTCTTGTTCTTTGAGGCTCACTGACATCAGTTTGTAGATCATTGCTTCTTTATTTCAGTTCAAAGCAGTGAGAGGAGGGAAGGCACTGTAATGAGACAGCTAAAGGGCAATAAAACAATTCAATCTAACAGCATAGAGGATAAAAACCTGCAATAGAAAAGGAAGACTTTCTGAGCCAAGCAGATAGTTTCTAAATACTTTGATATAATATAAATTGTGATGTGGATATGGAAAACTCTGCATTAGCGCATTGACAAATTGCAAATGACAATTCATAAAATCTAATTTAATTATGTCTTTTATCGATCAAAAATAGTTATTTTCTTGGATTTTCCTGTAGCAAACCTTATATTTCCCAGCTAGACAGCTGCACTCATAGCCTACTAGATCTCATATCTGTGTTTTCACAGACTAAACAAAGGCAGGTCAATGCAATAAAAAAGGCATGTAACAGAAGTGCTGTGTGATAAGAAATTCATAAAAAATTAGATAAACTGGAAAAATCAAACTGTTTTTATTGCATACCACAGAGACATTTTATTAGTCAACTTTACGAACTATCCCTAGAGCTAGAAAGTTGGAATTCCACAGTGGGCAACCATTAATCTTTAACAAGACAAATTCTGCACTTTAAGAATTTATAGGTTGCATAACGTAGACAAAATGTCTTAGGAGCCTTTACAGAATGGCAGCAGACCAGGAGTCTCGACAATCTGTTTGTGTGGGGAGCAGTGTTGGAGATGCCTCTGAGACTTCATTAGTCACCAGAAGCGACACACACAACTCCAACCTGATCCAGATGCCACACAAACAAATATATGTTTGTCAGTACCTGTTTATTCATGATAGTCCACCTCCAGAGGATGCCAAGGATATGGGAAAGTTTGAGTCAGAGCTGAAAAAAACCTGATGAGATCTACGACACTTGTAGAGTCTCATTAAATCAGCTTTAATGATATCCATAATATGGTCAACTAGAAAAGCACTCAGAGAGCAGACCTCCACCAAGGCAATGGGGTCATTGACGCATGTCAGTTTTTTTCAATACTGATTATACTGTGGATGACTTCTCCGCGGAGCGGAGAGGAAAGGAGAAATCAGCTGTGGTGGTTCTTCATAAACGGGCAGGAATGACTATGCTTTGACAGAAACAAACATCATTGGAAACAATAATGGAATGTTGGGAATACTCATATATTGCCAATATATTTCAGCTATGAAGAGTTCACACTGTTTATGCCAGCCAGATATTCAGCCTGTTGGATGGAATCTCACTGCAGTGGATGGCAACACCTGACCCACATCACTGTATCTGAGAGGCTGAAGGAAACGCAGTGTTGGGAGCAGATATGAAAAACAAAGGATAGAGGAAAATGTGGAATTTTTGCTACTGATTTCATCATTGCAGTTTTTGCCTAACATCTAATATTCACCCATTTAAGCTTGTCTTCTTTTTTTTTTATAATACTACATACACACAAATTTCTCTTTCCAGAATTTTTTATTTCCTACCAAATTTCTATATTTATATTTACAATGTGGGTATATTGAGAGCAAAGTGGAACTGAAGTCAAATGAATTGTTTTTGTTCACATAAGGAATTTGCTTTTCTAAAACTGTGCAGCCCTAAGTTATTTCTTTAGGATACTTCACATGGAACATATAACATGGGACTTTTTCTGTCATTCTGTTTAGGTTACTGAGATATGTAGGGTCTAAATGCAAGGATTTGTCTTGCTGAGCAGCCCACTGATGCGTACTGCTGTCCACAGAAGCTTATCATTGTCAGTCCAGTTCAAAACATCCTTCACTTTATCAGGTCTATTGTACATTTGCTTCTGTTGAGCTTTGGTGTGGTCGGACAAACCTACTTCCTACCACACTTAATAATTAACTAATGACACTAGAAGACTTTATCTCCAATCTTAGATAAAATGGATGATGTCACTTATTTGGAACAGAAATTGCTGGAAGGAATCTTGGAATATTTTCACTGCTGTGTTTGGATGGCAAGCCAAACTAGAAAACAAGGATTCTGAACATTTTAGGAGTCTTCGAGAGCTGGATAGTTTGGTAAATTATACAACAACCAATACACCATTGATCTATAGTACATGTTTCAAGTCGTGTCATGGATGCACTTCTAAATAATTCACATGAAAAGATCCACATGGAAACACACAGCTGTAAAATATTTGCTTCTATTCCTGAACCTTCCTACATTGGTCCACCTAGAAAAAAACCTTATTTAGTTCAAATGGTAAATAGACTGAATTTATATTGAGCTTCTGTAGTCATCCCAACCACTCAAAGTCTTTCACACTAGAGCCACATTTACCCAGTCACACTCACACATGCATACATTTATACAGGCAGCTTCACACAGAATTAAGTGTCTTGCCCAGGGGAACATCAATATGTGGCAGGAGAAAGCTGGAATGGAACCCACAACCTTTGGATTGCGAAACTACTACTCTTCCAATTGAGCCACAGTCACCGCTGTGAAGAATTTGGTCATTTTGGTTACAAATAAAAATCACTGTGATTGTCAACAACAACAGTTGTTTTATGTTTGATAGGTAACTATTAGGCAATAAGGATCAAAACCAAAATGGTTTGATTACCTTTTGACCAAAGGAATTTCCATGATAGAAAAAAAACCTGTACTGCCTGTCTTTCCTGCCAGATGTTTCCTGATTAAGGGCCCTTGAACCAGGAAACACGACCCATGATGTTTGCTTTTGCAGCACAAACTGTGCAGGGGGCAATTCATCAGTCACTTGTTGAACTAACATTCAGATTTGTTTAGTTTTGGTTGTTGTTTGTTATATTAAGTTTTTTCCCTACAACTAAAAATGGGCTGCAGTATAAAACGTTTCATTCACACCTGAAGACCTAAGTCTATGGGAACTGGAAATGAGGAAATGCCATAAAAATACTTTTACCATTTTTCCACTTTTGGTTCTATTAGAGAATCAATAAAACATCAACATATATATTTAAATGTAACACTTAAAATCCAGCTATTGAATCTCATAATGCAAAAGGTGTACTGAAGTAGCCAATTTGAAAGTGGTAGAGCAGGGTTTGTTAGTGGGGTTCTAAATGTATCCAGTGACAAACACTCAAAGCCCTTCAACCTACCATCATCACCATCAAAAAAGACTGATGAATTTTTTATTACTTTTATCATTATGTATGCTCTTACTGAGAGCTCTTACTGTTGCATCCAGTCAATATACAGAAGGCTAGAACTAATGGTTTATTAAAGCAGAATATTTAAAGATGAAGATTTATTAAAGCTGCCCGTGCCATCAACCAACGTAAGGGCTAGACAAAAAAACAAACAGTTACAATAAAACCTTAATAAACCATTATGCACATGCTCATTACATTAGTAAATTTTTTTTCCGTTAGTATATACAAATTACATCATTGCCAAGTTTAGCCGTTAAACCTTTGTAATTTTTCAGTTTTTGCCATTAAACTGATTTCTCTGACCATGCTTCCCCTCACAATGAAGTTACCAAGAAAAAAAGCATGTAAACGTATACAGTAGCTGCCATAAAACAAATAGAGCTGACTTTACCCCTTTGCTTTTACACATCACTTTGATTATTATCGGAATAAGTATTACAAAAGATCGTGACATACTTTGAAGTCCTTATCACCAATCTATTATGGGAGCAAGTACTGTTAAAATCCTTCCAGTCAAACACTAGATGTAGTCATTCCTATCACCTCCAGTGGTCTGAGTCCTTGTGTTCATAAGAAAGCCCAGGAACTGTACAAGTAAACTACAAAGGTGAGATTAGGAAAAATTACATTAAGTCTGAGTTTACATATTTTTAAGATCATATTGGCAGGCAGTCTTTCCAGTCATAGTCTTGTCCTCTCCTTTATCTACAGATGATGAGAAGGCCATGTTCACATCGCATCAGTGTTACTATAACAACCAGCTGTGCTAACTTGCCAACTACATCGATGTTGCAGTCCAGTTTAGGCCAAAAGGATTTGCAGTGATACAAATAAGTACATGTTTCTACAGGACACTGAAGAATGTTTCACAAGGTTAAATGCTTTATAAAGAAATGCTTTAAAGTTAAGGAAGAATCAATATTTACCGCAGTGATCCCTCTTCATAACGTCTGTACTTTTCTCTTGCATGTCTTGGACTTCTAGATTCAGTTTCTGACTGTTGTTGACCGACTCTTGTCACATTGATTGGATTTAAAACTGACCCCAGGATCTCAGCAGGGTTTAAATCCAGGAAATTTTACGGACACAGGTTTGAATTTCATAACCACATTTGTGCCTGGATTTTTGGAAGGGCATTTTAATTCCATTATTCATTCATGAAAGTGTTTTTGGTAAGGCTATACAATCTATTCAACTATATTTTCATTGCAATATCAGTGTGTGCAATATTAATATTGCGAAGGACTGTTTGGAATGGAGTAACTGTCGACTATTATATCCCAACTGTTATGAACTTTTATTTTTCATGCTAATGTAATATTGAGCCACTTGAACAGAGTCTTCCAGCAGCAGATTTACTGCTGACAGGACACTTGACCCATGGTAGCAGTCAGCTTTCTTCTCTACTCTGGACCATTGATTTTCCAGGTGTCCAAAACACATTTCAAGCCAAAGTCTTAAAATGTCATGTAGATGCACTCACACCAACCTGCTGCCAAGCTCTGTGTCAATGACAACATGATACTATAGCACTATCCTCAGGAGGCAGTGTCCTAGTGCTTGCTGGACACTCTTTGACATCCTGAAGCTTATCCACTGCCCACCTTGTAGTTCTTGAACATTCGTTCTACTGCAACATTCCAACCCCCAGTTTCCTTATATGTTATGTAATTTTGACACCAAGAAATTAAGTCTTCAGACTGGCAGACTGTTGGCAGAATTGGCTGGTTGATTTTAGCTGGACTTTTCACAGCTTCATCTGTGAAAGAATAAAGTTAGCTGATAATTCTAGAGCATTTTTAATTTTCTGATAAAGTAACTGCCAGTAAGTGGTAAGCATCTGAATTGTTCCAATGACTGCATGCACTGCAAAGAATGAAAAATAGAAGGAAGGAAGGACATAAGGAAAGACTGATGGAATGAAAGGATGAAAAAAGGACACCAAGAAGGAATAGAGCCAGTACATAAGTAAAGACGAAAGGACAGAAAAGAGGGACAGATGGAAGAAACAAGGAAGGAAGGACAAAAGAAAGAGAAAAAAGGAAAAGAATGGCCAAAAGGACACAAGGAGAGGAAGGAAAGAAGAATGGACATAAGGGAATAAGGAAGAAAGGAAGAAAAAAAAGAAAATCAAAGGAGACAAGGAAGAAATTAAAAAGGGAAAAGAAGGAAAGACAATGACAAAAGGGTTAGAGCGGAAGGAAGGAGTGAAACAAGAATTGAAGTATACAAGGAAGAAGGGATGGAAGGACACAAAGGGAGAATGGATGACAGGACAATATTTAGACAAAGGAATAGTGAATAAAATCTGCAAATCCAGACACTAATTAACATCTAGCATACTTATTCAGAAATCAAATTCCATACTTTTCTAGACTTATCCAGACTGCGCAGAAACCCTGATCCGTATTAATTCTATTTTTCAATCCAAGTCCTTCGCTGTCAACTAAATATGTTTAAAACCAAGTGTTTTAAATACCCTGTTGGTCCAGATCTGACCATCTATACTGTTCTGCTAGGGGGGAAACTGTCACAGTAATGCAGTGAACTGTTCTGTTACAAACTTTGTTTAGTCCAGAGGTCCTGCTAATGGTTTAGCTCTCTAATGGTTTCATGTAGTTCTCTGGTTTGTGAGAACACTTCACAGCCATGGAGTATATTTTTTATAAGAATCTGTCTCAGGGAATCTGACGGAAAAAGAAAAATGACAGAGGAGGATGGAGGCGGCCTCAAGCAACTGTTTAGTGAAACACTGTACCCACAACGCATCAATAGAACCTTGCTGAACCTCCTCCATCATGAGGTCTTTCATGAGGGGATTTAATCCAATTCGAATTTTTCTGCTTTGGTTTGTAAGGCATGCTTGGAAAAAACATAGAAGAGCAGAAGCTTTAAGTATTTTAGCAACAAAATAATACAGCTGCCTGAAGTTGGATCTGTTTAAAAATAAATAATGAACAAAAATATATTACTATTTTTTAATTTTAGGGATTTCTTTATAGTTTTAAACAATTCTGCAAGAAAATATCCTGAATAAAATTTCTAAATAATACTGTGTTATTTGCTCTGTATGGGTGATCAGAGCCCAAGGGATTGGTACAGCTGAAGCATACCGGACCGGCTATAGATTACCTCAAACATACTTGGTGCTTTTGCCAGGTTTCTAAACTGTCGGGGGTCCAATCAAAGCCCAATCTAAATTTGACCTGACCTTTAACAGATCGGTCTCAGCTGATCCGACAAGCCTCAGCCCTTGTCCAGACCATACCATGAACATTTGCTTGGGATTAGTCAGTGATGCAATAAGCTGAGTGTTCTTAGACAGAAAATGTGGTATCATAAACTGATCTTCAGTGCCTTGTATTATAACTAGGCCAACATGAAATGTATGTACCTAAATTTGAATCGGTATATATGCCTGGATTGATTTGGTTATACATTTGTCTGGTAAAATGCCTTGATATGAGACCTGTTGTGAAGTGGTGTTATATAAATAAAGTGAATTAAATTACATTTGACTTATATTGCGATAGCTTAGAAAAGTGCACTTTTCTGCTGTACCTGTTTTATGTGGAAATTAAATTACTTCATGTAGGACTCCAGTTGATGTAGCCTTAGTGCAAAAAAACATCTGTTTTGTACATAATAATTTTATTAGTATGTATTAAATTGTTTTAATAGTAACTGCCTGCTGGTGGTAAAGGAAGGACTACAAATAGCTGAGCTCAAAAAATACTCTCACCCATGGCAGAATAAGATTTATAATTGTTCTCACTTAACCAAGAAGTTTGTTTCTGATTAAATGAGATGGCCATCTTTCAAAAGATAATAAAACAATGCAGAAGCAGTGTCTGGTTTCAAAACATTATTCAATCTGGTTTTACTGGCATTTTTTTTTTTAAAGGTATGCTCAACATCATTTTCCCTTCTAAGCAACCAATGAAAAAATTTTATTGAATTCTTACAATTGTAAAGCAGCTTTTTTGCATGTTTCCGCTGGTATTTTGATGATTTCTCTTTGGTGATAAGCTTTAAGTGTTTGAGGTGTGAAGGCCTCCTTGCCATCATCTTAAACTCCCTCCAAAGATTCTCCATCAGATTCAAGTTGGGACTCTGGATGGAGTGCTTCAAAATGCTAAATTTTCTTAGACTCTGAAGAAAAACATATAGGTAAAATGAACTATTTCACATAGCCCTATTTAAAAATAAACCCAACCATCCCTTTAAACCAGTGCAACCTTAAAAAGGGCCAGATAGCAACATTTCAGTGTATACATTTTCAAGTCACGATAAGGTGGA